GAAACATAAAAGAAGGCTAATTCTATAGCACTGTTATCAGCAAATGAGAAGGGAGGAAGTGAAGTTAATGGATGGATGACCCTTAAAATGTACTTAGTGAAGTAAGGACAGATAGAATCCCCTCATGGAAAAGATCTAGGTTTATTAGTGTGAAGGAGGAAGGGGAGAGAGGACCCGTTGCTTATGGGACATGAGCTTTTATAAAAAGTGATGAAAAAAGCTAGAAATGGATAATGGTGATGATTGTACAACATGATTAACACAATTAAAGTTAGTAAATTGTACATGAGAAGAATTTTCAAAAAGCAAGTATTATATGCCATATCTATATCCATATATATACTGCAACAAAAAAGAATATTTACTATATGAAGCAAAAATTATAACAACATAAAATATATATGCAGAAGTATGACATCAACAGCACAAAGCCAGGATGGGGGGAGAGTGGAGAATAGAAACATCTAGGGGTAAACTTCTTGTGCTCTCTCTACATAGTATTCCTGGAATCTTTGAGATTGGGTATAGCCACATGATTTGCTCTGATCAATGAAATGCAAATGCTTTATACCAATTCCTATGGCATCTTTATGAGCTTATATGCAATTTATCGTATTGCACTCTTCTGTTTTGGTGATCATAGAGGAATGCGTTCAGATGAAACTTGAGTCAATCAGGGTCTACTAGTGCCTCCAATGAGCCCAACTTCTCTGCCAGCTGACAAGAGACAAGTCATGTGAATGAGCAATCAGAGCTCTCTTGAGAGATCTTTGTTACTGCAGCTAACGTAGCCCATCTAATTATATGCATTAACAACAACAAAAACAAATAACCCATTGTCATTAATTCTGGCCCTAAACAGAGTTTTCAAGACTAAAGCTTCACAATGGTGTCAAGTGGCTCTGTAGGATAAGCACAGGACTATGAACCACAAGGTTGGTGGTTCAAGCTCACCAGCTACTCATGGAGAAATAGAAGACTATCTGCTCCTGCAAAGATTTAAAGGTTCTAAAACCATGTACAGTGTCACTGTTAGCCAGAACTGACTCATTGGCACATAATAACAAACATAACCAATCTTTACAGGGGCAGACAGCCTCTTTCTCCAGAAAAAATGATTGGTGGGTTTGAACCGTCAGCTTTGTGGTTAGTAGCCCAATGCTTACCCCACAGTTCCAACAGGGCTCCTTAAATGAATGCATTATTGTTGTTGTTAAGTTCTATCGAGAGAATTCCAACTCATAATGCCCCTGTACACGGGTTCCAAAGAGCAACTGGCAGGTTTGAACCACCAACACTGGACTTGCAGTACAGTGCTTAGCCTACAGTGCCACACCAGGAGTTCCATAACTGAGTGCATGAGAAGGCACAATAAGTAAATTAGCATAGAGTTTTACCCTAGTATGCATACTGATATATGTAAGCTGGGCTTACAAATAATGGTTTTGTTATAACTAACTACTGAGATATTTTTTATGTATGAAATAATACATTTCTGCTGAAACACTACACACAAAATATTAAATTTTGGTGTCACCCCCTGACAGTGTCATGTGGTGCAGGCCCTGTCCCCGCCTGGTCCTCCTCACTGATGTCACCCCCTAAAAGGACAATACAAAATAATTGGTGAAAACACAGACTGATTCTGCACAACGTTTTCCTTCCACACAATTGGCAAGCAGTGCCTCAGAATCAAAGCGGTCCCTAAGAAGATTTAGAAGACATTTACTTTTCTCTCACAGACTCAAAATGACTGGGAGGCAAAGGATCTTTTACATTTGTACTCAAGGACATTGAATTCCTTCAAGACTCAATATTCTTTCATATTCTATTTTTCAGTTGTGATTTAGGCTATCCATTTGCAAAACGAAATGATCTCTTTGGGTGGTTTTTCCACAACAAATACACTTCCTAAGTATTCATTCTCCAAAAAATAGAAAATTGCCCAAAACTTTGAAATGACAGTTTAATTTGTATTTCTACCACCCTGTTCCGATTTTAGGAGCCCTGATGGTACAATATTTGAAGGGGTCAGCTGTTAAGTAAGAGAGTGGTGGTCCAAACCCACTAACCACTCCTTGGGAGAAAGATGCAACAGTTGGCTTCTCTGACATTTACAACCTCAGGGCAGCTCTACTGTGTCCCACAGGGTGACTGTGAGTTGGAATTGCCTCTAGGACAATGAATTTAGTTTGGGTTCGGTCCTGGTTTCAGAGGTCTGGAGCCCTTTTTCAGCCAACAACACAAGTCATGGGTATCTAATGATTCCTTTTGTATCCTCAGCAGCTCCTGGAAGGAAGAAAACAGTCAGCTTACATCAAAAGAATAGGAACTGTCTTCAGATGAGGCTTTTTTTTCCTGGTTCCTAGATCACTATCTTTCCTGTGAAATATTTTAATCAGAATCAATCTTTTATACTCTGGAATCTAAAACCTAGTATGCGGAAAGCCAAATAAAGAAGGAACAAAGTATCAGAATCATTGAATAAGAAAAAAATATAAAATAATTCATGGAGATCTAAAAGAGAAACGAAATCCACTACTATGATGTCTCTCAATACATGGGACTTTCTGTGTGATTTAGAAGCAAGGACAGTCGATTTACTATAAGGTCAGAAAGAAGAGCCAAATAGCCATGGGGTGGGGACAAGCTTGGGGAGAGGGCAAGAAAGGCCTCAGGGAAGATTTGATGCCAGTTTCTGTGGAGGATGGAACCAAATGAATTCAGAAAACTTTGATAGCCGAGTGTTCTCATAACCCAGGTCACTTGGGAGGACTGTACTACGCGTGTTGTTGTGACATGAAGTCCGGGGATTTGAACTGTAGACCTTGCAGTTAGCAGTCCAGTGCTTATCCTACTGTGCCACACCAGGGGCATGTACTATGCTTGTTAGGGGCCATCAAGTAGGTTTGACTCACAGTGACCCTGTATAGGGTTTCCCATGAGCAGCGCCACACCAAGAGCCCATACTATGCTTCTTGTTGTTCTCAAGTGCTGTCGAGTCAGTTCCAACTTATAGCAACCCTGTGTAGGGTTTCCAAGGAGCAGCTGGTGGATTTGAGCAGCCAACCTTGCCTTACTTAACCTAGGCATATTTTAGAGTTTCAAGGAGTCTTGCGGGTGGTGTAGTGTTGGGAGCCATTAGAGCTGAAGGTCTCACACTTGGGGGTAGTTTAACTCAAGGATTGCAACTGAACAGTTGTGGTCCAGAAAACCCTGCTGCTCCCAGGTCAACTTACTTCACTGAGGAACTTGCATGGCTGCCTACGGGGACAGGCAGGGAACTTGTATGGGTTTTTCCTTGTAGACCTTCAGTTCAAGTCAGCAAAAACATCTAGCTGCCCTATCTCTGTTTCCCTAGAAAGTCCTGCTTACTGTATGCATCAATAACACCAGATGTTTTTCTTTTCCCTGACCCCAGCATGTCACCTTAAGCTGTATATATAATAAATTTGCTTCCTTGGTCTGTGCCGCAGTATCTCCACCAGAGTGCTGCCTCCCACCTGGTCTCAACTTTACTTACTTCAATTGTGTCTTGTGTCTTTCTTTTATTTTTAATCTCCCGTCGCCTCTGTTGTTGTTATTGTTGTTAAGTGCCATTGAGTCGGTTCCGACCTATAGTGACCCTGTATAGGGTTTCCGAGGAGCAGCTGGTGAGCTTGAACTGCTGACCTTGCAGTTCAGATGGCTTTGCATACTGGCACATTAACTCACAGTGCGCCACACTAGGACTCCCCACCCCCCTCCGTCACCCCTACTCGGGTTGGGTAGAGGAGCATAGCTGATTGTCCAATGCAGCAGTTGGCCAGCAGTGTAGTATTAAAAAATGAACTGCAAACCACAAGTTTGGCAAATTGAAACCAATCCGCCACTCAGAAATACAAAAAAGAGGCAGTCTTTGATAAAGATATAGTCTCCAGAAATCCTATACATGGTCATTTTGAGACGGAATCAACTCCATGACAGTGGATTGGGCTTTTGAGCCCAGGATAAGCACTGGACTAGTAACCACAAAATCGGTAACTCAAATCCACCAGACTATTTTGGAAACCCTATATACGGGTCGCTGTGACTCACAACTTCAGGGCACACAACAACAATCTTTGAAATCCAGATAGCGCTGTAGAGTAAGTACTGGACTGCTAACCATTAGGTCAGCAGTTCAAACCCAGGAGGCACTGTGTAGGCGAAAGATGATGCTTTCTGTTCCCATTAAGATTTATAGCCTTGTAAGTCCTAGGAAAGGAAACCCTTAGAATAGCTCTGAGTCAGAACCCACTCATTGGCAGTGAGACACTTGTGACAAGGTTGGGCACTACAGGCATGGGTGTAACCTGGTCAACTGGATGATACATCTCAAACTCCCAGACAAAATCCCCTTTCCAGCAAATGTTTATTTTATATTCCCAACAGAATGGGATTCTAGAGTTGGTTTTTGCTTTTGAATCTAAAATGCCCAGCCAACGATTCTTTCTAACCTTAAGAGCGCATTCCGGGCTGAGAGTCCTTGTCTTCCGCACTTGTTCACCTTAATCTTTAGGGTTTCCCTGAAACCCAAGTAGTCCTGCTCTGCACGACAAGAGTCAGCTGGCGGGTGAGCTCCTTTTACACTCGGAGGGCAGACTCGCAGGTACCCGCAGGTTGCACACCAGAGCCTGCTCCCTCCTGCCTGCACATTAACCAAGTCGCAGGGTTTGTAATAACAACAGCCTCAAGGAAGCCTTTTACTGGCCAACTTGTGCAAGGGTCTCTTTCTTTCCAGCTCCAGCAGAAATCGCCCTCCGCCGCAGGCGCCACAGTAAGCGACACCGGCTTGCGCATGTGCGGCTCTGGGAGCGCGGCCGAGTCCCAGTCTGGAGGCGGTGGAGTGCGCTTGCGCAAACCCGGGCAGTCTGGCCAAGCCGCAGGCGCGGGGTGGCGGGCGGTTGCCGTGGAACCCGCCCGGCCCCTCCCTCCATTCCCGCCCGGGAGACGCAGGAACGACCCAGGCCCTCCCCGCCGTCCGGCCGGTGACCCGAGAAGAGGCGGCGCCGCTCCAAGATGTCGCAGACGGCCATGTCCGAGACGTATGGTAGGAGGCCGGGCCGGGCGCGGGACCGGGGTCTTGGGCAAGCGCTTACCGGGCAGGGCGGAAGGGCCGGGCGAAGTGCGCAGCACCCAGGCGCTCTACGCTGGAGGATTTCCTCCTCCTTTTCTAACTTCCTTGGCTCAGGGCTGGGGAAACCGACTGCTTACATCTGGGAGATTGTCTCCTGTTGCAGGACCTGCAGGACTAGGGCGCCGCCTGCATTTCAGAGCTCTTGCAATCGTGCAAGCCGACCTCTGCTGTGCTCCAGTGCCTTTCTCGCCTTCTGCTGGGATTGCACTCAAGAGCTGCCCGTAGTCCCATCCCTTCCGCTGGAGGCCTCGCAGCTCAGTTTTTCTCACTCCTAAGGGGTTTGGACTTGCATGTGGCTATGTAATATCGTATTTTGCCTCCTTTTTAAAGACCATAAGCACCTTCCAAGCAAAACCCTGCCCAGTCTTTGTTTTCCCTACGGTATCAGGTTAGCTGAGGTTCTCTGCGACTAGTTATTTGAGTAAATGAAAGACTTCCCAGTTCATAGGCTTTGCTGCTTCTTAACAGTCCTGAGTGGTAAGAATAAGCAATGTAGTGTACTTCGACTTGGTTTCAGGATTGACTGGGTGTTTTATTAATTAATCACTCTTGGACTCCGGTTGTGGTGCTGTTGGATCAGCATTGGACTGCGAACCTCAGGGTCAACAGTTCAAATTCACCAGCTGCTCCTCAGAAACCCTACACACTGTCGCTAAGACTTGATGGCACTTAACAACAACAATTACTCTTTTAGATGTTTACATATACAGATTAACTTTGATTGAAAGTTTAGCATGCTCGGAGAGCTGATCAAGTTCACAAGTTCAGCCAAGTCAATCTTGACTCATTTTCCTTAGCGTTTGGCTTCTGCACTAACCTGCGTCTCATTCCACAAATCCGTGTGAAATCTCTGTGGTGAATGAAGTTAGCTGCTTTGGTGCTAGGCACTGTGCATTGCAACAGGGAGCTGCAGAGGCGGTCTCCGGGTCTCTGATTTCATGGCACTTACTGTCCTACTGGGGAAGACTGTTAATTATGACACTCATGAATGAGCTATAAAAATCCAGACAATGCTCCGAAGCGTGTAAGGAAGAAACCTGGCCCAAAGTGGGGGTATGGGAGGGTTAGCAAGACATTACCATGGATAAACTGGGGCCCAGGACCCGAGGGGCATGAGATTCCAATAAGGAGAGTGTGGATTGAGCACCCACAACCTGGAGGATACAGGTGAGGAAGAAGTGCAAAGATACAGGGACCTCAGTGAGGTGGAACTTTTTCATCTAAGAGTGGTGAGACCAGAGTGGATGTGGGCTTTGACCACTCCTTTGTGACAAGGAACCCTGGTAGCCTAGTGGGTTCCTCATTAAGCTATTAACCACAAGATCAGTAGTTCAAATCTACCAACTGCTCCATGGGAGAAAGATGAGACTTTCTGTTCCCATAAGATTTATAGCCTCAGAAACCCTATACAGGATCACTACGAGTCGATTCAATAGTACGCAACCACCATCACCACCATTCTTTGTGATGGGGTCATGGTTGGCACTGTAGGATAAGCACTGGACTGCTGATTGCAAGGCTCAAACTCATGAGCCACTTCCCTGAAATGCTACAATTTAATGAACTTGACCTATACTTATGGATGTAGTAGCTCAAAATACCAATCGAGAGGGAAGGGGTCCTCACAATAAGTATCATTCTTATCCCCTCAGTACACAGGGTTGATAGGGATCCGCAGTTTAGACACTGGCTGGCTACTTAAAATGGGGGACTATAAAGGCACAAAGTGGCTGATGTACAGTTTTCAAGAGGGAGTTTAGTTTCAGGGTGTATGGGGTGAAAATCTCCCCACTGAATCTCCACTGAAGAGTTTTCATCTTGTCTCCATGGGTCTGGTGAAGGATATGGGGATAGGATTCTTAAGATTCAATAGTAAGTAATTGTTACCATGACTGGTTGTCACAACTGTAAAGGTAAAAGTTGTGTAACAAAAAGCGGGAAGTAGTTAATCTTATGTTCCAGGAACAGAGGACCCTAGGACCATCAAGGGAGAAGAGCATGAACAGAATGTGGGACCCTAACCAGAGAAGCAGTGACACCAGAAATGGAGGCAGAGATGAGACCTGGAGAGACAGATCAGCTGAGGACTCTTAAGACTCGTGGAAAGAGAAAGGCTGTGTGCTGGTGGCCAGGAGGCTGGCTTGTAAAATGTGCCCTTTGGTTCTTTAAATGATTATATATTCCTGAGTATTTTTGTGTATATCCCCAAAAAAAGGAATAGACGGAAATGCTGTTAACCGATGGTGCATGTAGAGGATTGTAATTATTGCATTGAAACAAAATATGATTGGCTGAGTGCAAAAACAATGTTCTCCCATGTGAATTATCACTCAATTCACAATAACAGCGTTTAAAAAGAAAACCTTCTTTGTGACACTTGGAGCATGCTGCCCTGTTGTTAGAAGGCATAGGAAACCCTTCATGAAGTTATGGGCTTTCAAAGTATCGTTGGAGCTGTTTGTACTATTGGGAGCCATATCCGTTATTGGTTTGCTTGCTTCTATCATGGTTCTAACTACTGTCGTGGACTTCATGAGGAAAATGTGGTTTTTCTAGCAAATGCTGGTTACAGTGTCACTTTCTTCTATTTTCAAATACCCCTCCCCGACCCATTGTTTTCTTTAACCTAGGTACGGTCCAGTGGGGAGAGATGAACAGTTCAGCTATGAAAAGATGAGGGTAAGAGGGGTCATGAATTAATTAGAAAGGACAGACTAGAAGAAGCCAGGAAGCAGAAGTTTATAAGTTTCATATTTCTTAATATGAAATGATAAAATTGTTAATCTATAGTATAGCTTTGGCATCTCTACTTCTCAACTTTAACCCAGTTCTTTAAACTTTTGAGTAAGCATCATAGATTAATTGAACTGATCATAAGGCTTTGAGCATTGTTGTTGAATGCCATCGAGTTGGTTCCGACCCATAGTGACCCTGTATAGGGTTTCTGAGGAGCAGCTGATGAGCCTGAAATGCTAACTTTGTGATTCAAACCAACTTTGCGGCCCAGCGCAAAACCCCACAGCGCCAAGCCAGGGCTGTAGTGCTGGCTATTACTGAAATACCGGAAGTGGGTGATGTTAACAAACAGAAACTTAGTGTCTCACAGTTTGTTGTTAAGTGCCATCAAGACTCATAGTGACCCTGTTTAGGGTTCCCATGGAGCAATGACTGGGTTTGAACCGCTGATCTTGTAGTTATCAGTCCAGTTCTTATCCTACAGCAGTACAATACGCTGAAGTCTTATTTTAGGGGAAGGCTTTGTCTGTCTATTCTGATGGAAGGGCCCTGTCTGAGTTTCTGCTCTTGGCTAGTCTTCATGTAGATTGACGGCTTTCTTCTGCCATCTCTGCTTCTTTCTTTCAATTTATTGTTTATAATTGTTTTTATGTCTAAAAAGAGATGGGCTCACAACACATCCTATAGAAATTCTTCCTCATTAACATAACTACAACTACCTGTTCTTAAATGGGATTAGAGTCGCATTTAGGGGTTCCAGGGGCTTCAAAAAGTTTGTGAGAAAATGAAATTAAAAAGATACTGGAATTGTCCCACAAACTTTTTGAAGTCCCGTTGTATATATATTGTTATTGTTGTTAAGTACCGTGGAGTTGGTTCTGACTCATTGCGACCCTGCACAGGGTTTCCAAGGCTGTAAATCTTTACGGGAGCAGAATGCCTCATCTTTCTCCCATGGAACCACTGATAGTTTCAAACTGCTGACCTTAAGGTTCGTAACCACTATGCTACTAGAGCTCCTTTGTACATATATTGGGGGAACAAAATTCAAGCATAACAACTAGTATTCTCATTTTATGGTATCCTCCAAATATGTTTTCACTTTTTGCTAACTTTGAATTTAATCTCTTCCTCATTAGAAAATTACTTTGGGAAGAGGGAGTGTGGTACTTGCAGTTACTAACCTGAAATACAAACCTTCACCAAAACCAAATAGTAATCTGTTACCTTCACTTATCATTGGTCATATTTGCATAGCATCCTTCCCCAGAGCTAAACCATCAGATAACCTCCTTCTCAGATACTTGCCTCTAAAGGAATGTTTGCTTGATCTTACTTACCTTTGTATTCTTTGTGATCCTATTTTAGTTTCTATAAAGAGAGAATCTGTAGTTTGACGGAGATATTATGTAAGAAAAAAGATCCAGTGCTTACAGTGTACTGTTAACTCATTGGTCTACCTGATTTTTTACATATTGCAGCAATATTTCTGTGTCTATGGTCTGGGAACCCTGGTATGGCACTGTGGGTTAATGCACAGGCCTGCAAGGTCAGTTTGAACCACAAGGTTGGCAGTTCAAACTCACCAGCTGCTCCTCGGAAACCTTATTCAGGATTGCTATGGGTCAGAACTGACTTGCGGACACTTAACAACAACAAACCTGCTCTTTGAATTATTGCAGCAATATTTCACCCTCTGTTGTCTGGATTCCCGGTGTGGTGCTGTAAGATATGCTCTCGACCGCCAGGTTGGTGGTTCAAACTCACCAGCCGCTCCTCAGAAACTCTAGACAGGGGTGCTATGAGTCGGAACCGACTTGACAGTACTTAACAACAACAACAACTACATGTTCGGGTAGCAGTTGCTCTGATGCCACTAACCTTGGAAATACCGTAATTCAGTTTCTATAATATTGTAATACAAAGCTGAACTCTTCAGCAGGTAGAAAAGCTGAAACGCTCAGTCTGAACATTCCTAACCTGAAACAGAGTTTTCCCAAATATTAGATTTGCACCATTTCTAACTAAGACCTAAAAACAAACAAACTCATTGCCATCGAGTCGTTACCAACTCATAGTGACCCTGTGTAGGGTTTCCGAGGCTATAAATCGTTACAGGAGCAGAAAGCCTCATCTTTTTCCTAAGGAATACCTGGTAGGTTTGAACCTTATGGTTA